AAAAAGAAAAAAAAAAGAACTAAAGGTCTGCAGCCTGGGGTTGTTCAGGCTGTTGTTTAGGCTGTAGGATAGCTGGTTGGAGTTCTTCCTCCATCCCTCCTTCACCACTCTTGTAGCTCCTACATGCAAAGTTTATTCCTCCTCCCTTGGGCTCCCTAGGGCTTTGCATGTACACTGGTGTTTTAGTGGCAGTTCACACATCTTCCCACCTTCCACCTGTGAGCACATCCAGGGCAGCCACTGAGCCTTATTTTTGGAGTATCATTTTATTACAGTAGAGTCTCCATAGCTGCCCACCTCCCTACACTGACCATCTCCTTAAGTTGACCTAATTTTCATAGAATGGACATGAGCCACATGTACTGTCGGTACAGTAGGCCTAGTTCCTTATGTTGACCACTTCCATGTGTTGACCAGTTTGTTACAGTTTGTAAGTGAGTTACAGTTGTGTAACTCAACTTACAGTTTCTGAACTGTCATGCTGTGTTGTGCCGGGTCAGGTTATATTACTCCAGGTGCCCACCACAGTGCAGTCAGTGATCTTAGGATGACAGGAAATGGCTATGGTCATTCTGACTAACCACCAGTGGTTGGACACAAAACTCCAAGTTCCACAATCATTATCTGATACATACGGATTATTTTGCATGAGGATTATGGGGTATTAACAACAATGCTTTACATTATGACTTAATTTGTCCAATTCATCCTTCACATTGCTGCCAGGTAATAAATTATCCTCATATCATCATCAAACTTACAGCCAAGTTTATTTTTTCATTCATTGGCCTGCCCCAGGCATTTCCCCATAGGCCTCCCAGCTTCTCCTCAGCCCATCAGAGGGGAATCAATCCCTGGAGATCATTCCATGCCAACCTTTCTTTCTGCCTATTATGAGCCTGGCAAGGCCACCCTGGAGGTCACCTACAAAGCTAGGAGGTGGCCTGACTTCCTGGCCCAGCCTAGCAGCCACCACCCTGCACTGGGAGCAGCATCGGTGGATGTTCCTGCTGCTCGGTTCTTCCTCCTCCATCCCTTTCCAGGTCAGGAGAGGCTCTCACTGATGCTCTCCTATGTGGTCCTCAGATCTTGCCTCTACTTCATCTCCTTAAAGGGAGGGTATACCCTGGGGACACTGCCCCAATATGGCTTCCTCCAGGAGGACAATCAGGCAGAATTTGAGCTGAGCACAGCC